CATGCCCATGTGATTGAATCCTGACCTCTGACACATCAGCAGGATATATTCCATATTCCCTCTTCTCCTTCCTCCTTCTTCCCAGCAGGATTCTGGACAGAAACTGGAAGGTCCTGTGGCCATCAACTAAGGGCATTCAAGCATCGAGATAGGAGCCTGGGAGCTTGATGGCACTGCGTGGCCATCACCTGACCTTCAACTACCCACCTGCTAATTCTCTATTTTGGGAGATAAATAAGTACCTATTCCATTAAGCCTCTGTGCCAAGTTTCTATTATAAAGGAGGTAAATGTAAGCCTGACAACATGAACCTAACACATATTTGGCAAAGATCTATGTCCACCAAACATCAGTCCCCTTAGTTTCTTCCTAGTCAAAAAGGAACATGATTGGAAAAATTATCATAATAATATTGATAAGCAGAAAAACAAGTTACCAAATGCTGTAGATCATACAGTATAATCCAAATTTCATTAGCAAGGAGAAAAAAATTGCTGTGAGACTCAGGGATATCCAGAGGCTCAAAAGATTCTATTAAGCACATGACTGTGAAAGGAAAAAAAATGAGTATTTTCATTTTAACAAAGCCATTTAGACAAAACTACTTCAGAATGTCCTGCTGGGTTTCCCACAGGCCAAGGGCAATGCGAGTCTAGGCCAAGTGGAACACGTCAGAGAGCTTATGGCAAACAGAGGAGCTGGAAATATGTCTGTGGTGCATTAATGATGCTTTGTGATTCTTTACAAATGGTCTTGTGTGGATATTCTGAGAAAAAATGGCTAGTCTGGCTTTTGATTTATATCACATAACTATTCAGCACAACATAAGTGAATAGTGAGCTGACCGTGTTTTTATTACACCAAAAGGAAATATTTTTCAGATTATAACTGCACAGTTGTGGTTTCTAACATTCCTACTGCTCCCTTGCTCATTTCCAAGGAAATTTATGCTTTTTCTGGGCACGGATATGTTTTAGGTCAAAATAGTATTTATTTAGGTAATAGCTACACACATGGGACCATGCAAGCTTAAAAGGGACAGTCTTTGGCAAAGCAGGAAGGAAGTGGGGACACAGAGGATGGGAGTATTCTCAAAGCAGGAACACTTACCGTCATATCCCCTCCAAACACACACACACACACACACACACACATACACTGCATATTCTAGAAAAATCTATGTAAAGATAAAACTTCAGCCCTTTAAGCCTAATAATATTCAACCAATACTTAATGAAAATACATGTATAGAGCCACTTGGAAATAGCTGCATCAAAACGTCATGCTTGGTCTCCAAACTGTTCAAGCAAGGGCACTTCAGGGGATCACCCCAGGGAGGACAAAGATAGGAAGCCCTAGGCAAACACCAGCAGCTAAAAATGAGTATCTCTATCAAGTGGGAAGCCCTGCGTTAGGCCCAACATGGAAAAAATACTCTTGTTCCTCAAAAGCTCACAAGATGGTATTGAGATCAGCAGATAATGACTCTCAGAAAACTGTAACCTGTGGATATGCAGTTATGTAGCTAACTGTATATGAGGTAGAACTGAATGAATTTGATAATAACACTATAGGAAGTTATGGGAGGTCCAAATAAGAAACAACTAATTGGGAAGGAAGGAAGGGAGGGAGGGAAGGAGGGAGGGAGGGAGGAAGTGGGGAAGGGGGGAGGGAGGGAGGGAAGAAAGGAAGGAAGGAAGAAAAGAAAGAAAGAGAAAAAAGAAAAAAGGAAAGGAAAAGAAAGGAAGAATATTATAATTAAGGAGATTCACTGTCGCATCTAAAAGAACACTGGTGGGGTGTCTGAGTGCCTCAGTTGGTTAAGTGACCCAAGACTCAAGCCTTCAGCTCAGGTCATGATCCCAGGGTCCTGGAATCGAGTCCCATGTCGGGCTCTTTGCTCAGCAGGAAGCCTGCTTCTCTCTCCTCCTCTGCCTGCCATTCCCCCTGCTTATGCTCTCTCTCTGTCAAATAAATAAATAAAATCTATTTAAAACAAACAAACAAATGCACACTGGCTTTCCACGGGACCCTCCATGGACTCTCCAGCCCTGACTCAGGGCCTGCTACATTTCCACAATACATAGAGGATCTTGTATTGCTTCTTGGCAACGACTCCAGGAGCAAGAAAAAAACAGTGGATAAAGGTAGGCAACGGAATAACAATAATGATGATAGCTAACATATATTGAGCATGTAGGGGGAACATGTAATAAAAATCAAGATTAACATGTTAGAATACATAATTTAAAATGTGACATAGAATTATACATCTGAGTTAGAGCATGAGTGATTTGGCATTATTTTGCTAAAATTCAGGGAAAGAAGGGATGCTTTGTTCAACCAACAGCACTGAGCCTAACCCACTCAGCTGCATTTCTGCCTCACTAGCACATACAACTTTCTTCCCACAGGAATCTGAATGAAGCGTATCAATTAACCGGTAACTTAGCTTCCGGATATCAAAGTAGGAATATTGCACAAAGGAATAATAATAGAGTGAGGGCCCAGGGATATATACCATCCTTTTTATTGCACACTGGTTTTCTGGGATTTCTATAAATTAGTCATTTCAAAATCTCAGCAGAAAAATACACATGTAACTTTAAAAAAAAAATCTATTCATTGAATTGGTTTAGCTTTTTGTCATGACTGTGCACACACACAATGATGTAATGACTTCTGCTTCCTAAGAAAAACCATTTTTCCTTATTATTCAGGGATGGTCCCTTGGTCTTACAACCAGCACAAAGAAGTACAGAATTCATGTGCACACACTTTAAAAAGGAAATGTTTCCTGCTATCTTACTGCTGCAACTGACAGATAAGATGGGAGGCTAGTTTGTATTTCTTTAATCATCTCTTTTCTTCAAATCCATTTGCTAGCACAACGTTAGAAGTCAGTTGGGATGACTGAAAACCCTCATGTATAAAAAGACTATTTTGGATTTCTTTTAAAATTTTTCTATTTGATGAGCTTTAAAGAAGATTGCTTCCTTATCTCTTCTTCATTCATAGCAAGTTGACATCAGGTTTTGTACATAAAGGATACTGGGGATTGGCTTGTTTACCCTCCATTCCATCTCTTTTCTAGCTTCCTGCTGAAGCCTGATTGTTTTAAAAACTGCCTCTCCTGGACTTCTCTGCAACTAATGTTCCAGACGCAAATTAATCTTAGCCATTAGATGCACTTGAGGGTGATTTAGAAGAAGATAAATTGGAACCCATCTTCCCGACCCTGTTCCTGTCACAGGCAGTTGTGACCATGTTAACTGCAGTGGCAGCTGGGGCTTTCTGATCTCTTAACCACAGTTATGGCAGTAAATTCTTGAACTAAGTAATTCCAGGAGCCACTCTTGACTCCCACTTATCCATTCTTCTAATGCTCTTTTAAGTACCTAATTCCCAATAAGAAGTATCTTTCTGCTAAAAATACCTGGGAAGATTTCTGTTCCCTGCCTTAAACCCTGACTAATGCAATTATCTCCTTCATTCCTCAGTCTGAAGATGCAATATATGAACCACGACATTTACAACATGCTTCGTGTCTTCAAAGTCCACGGACATGCATTATTCACATCCATCCTGACCACCACTTTGTGAGGTGGGAGGACAGGTACTGCTCTAGCCACTGTACAGATGAGAAAGCTGAGTCTCAAAAGAGCTGGGTGACTTAGCAGGGCATTTAGTTAGTAAGAAATGGAGAAGAAATTCAATCTCACATTTTATGGCTCTTAGTCATTTCCTTTGACACTGAGAAGCCTCTCAGGGGCAAATGGAGAAGATAGAGAAAACACATGGATGATGGCCAGGAATTCAACCTTCTATTTTACTACTTTAAAATAAAAATTTTTGGGGGGCGCTTGGGTGGCTCAGTGGGTTAAGCCTCTGCCTTTGGCTCAGGTCATGATCTCAGGGTGCTGGGATCGAGCCCCACATCGGGCTCTCTGCTCAGCGGGGAGCCTGCTTCCCCCCTACCTCTCTGCCTACTTGTGATCTCTCTCTCTCTGTCGAATAAATAAATAAAATCTTTTTAAAAAAATGAAATAAAATAAATTAAAAAAAAAAACCATCATTACACACTAAGACCATGAAGTTCAACTAAAATATCTAGAGATGAACTAGCAGAGATGGGCTAGTTCACAGAGTGGGTCTTTGGATTTGGCAGAGCCTGTGCCTCAGCTTGATTAGGGCCCTCCTTTGAAGCCTCCTGGCTATTAATACGGACACACAAAGGCCCGGCTCAGTTTTCCAACTCTTAACTGTGAATTCCCTTTCTGCCCAATCATCTGGCCAAACCAGGAGTGGCTTGAAGACTTGGGGAGGCTAATCTTCATTTCTCCATTTTTTCCTAAGGGCAATTTCACCTAAGAACCACCCCCCTCTCCAACCTGGGCTCCCTAGAAATAACAATTTCTCTATTTTTCCCTTTCACTGCATATATTTTAGTAAAACATTTTATTTCATTGCTCAGGAAACCCAGAAGAAAAACTATAAGTAACCAAGGCTTCATTTAGGCCATTTCAAAAATTACGAAATTCATTCTCTCCATATTTGCCACTCCACCACTTAAGAGCAGTGTCTGACCACAGGATTAAGATCCAAGAGCTCTAAGAAGCAAACTTCTAACCATATGGTTCCCAGTCCCGGAGAGCACACCCGTCCTAAGAAAACATTCCAGTACTGCAAATCTTCAAGATCATTCCACAGCCAACCTTGAAACACTAGAATTCCACAATTCCTGACCTTGCTTCCTTCAGTCTCAGATGACTCAAATCAGAAGGGCTAAGAAAACTATTACTTCGGCCCCTGCATGGAAACATTATGTGACTTCTTCAAAAAAGGTGACAGCTATAAAGAAAAACATTTATAATGAAGAAGAGAAGAAAGGAGATGAAAAGGAGGAGATCTGAATTGTTAGGCAAACTCAATTATCTTTTCCCTATGATGTCAAGATACATGGGTAACTCTACATCAAGACAACAACAAACTATACTAACCTGGGGGAAGAGAGAATAAGTTGAATTGTCAATGGTGAATGAGTATAAAAACTCCCCGTCATACCACATGCTCTTCCCCATGGGGGAATTCATTTTAGTCATAGCAAAGAGATGGGCGGGGTCACAGCAGTCTTCCATCTGTTTCCTAGGAGAGAAAATAGAGAGAGAAAAGAACAGCAGGTTAAGTGAGCGGCAGACTCATTCACTTGTCATTCCTACCGAGATGTGCAGCCTTACCTCAGTGCCGGCTCACAAAAGCATCATCCACGGTTATTAGACTACTATTAATTCACTCTTCCAGCCATCAAAATGCATGACTGGAATCCTTTTTAATAAAAAAAAAAAGTTAAAAAAAAAAAAAACTTTAGCTCTCAGATGCAGCTAAAATGTGTCTGAAGGCAAACATGATCATTTTAATTGCAGATTTGTTGATTGACTGAAACCTCCAGGCCCAGAAAAGATTGGAGGGTCTTCTGGAGACGTTGAGCTCTGCAGCTGCAGCAGAAATGTATCTTTATGGTGATTTAACAATCAGGGGGACAAGTTCAATGACCAGGCACTTTTACATGTAGGAAGTAGGGGATGCACAGAGTGGCCCAAAAGAAGGCACGCCTCCCAAAACTGGGGACAAAATTAAGGAACAACACCTGGGGGAAATCCTTCTAAATAGAAACAGAATGAGATGAGCGATGTGATTTCAAACACCAGCGAAGCCATCTGTGTTCTAAGTGGTAAATCTCGTGGGGCTTTTTGGTTCTTGTTTGGTCTGATCTCTTAGCAGTACTGGGACCCCTGAGAAGGGATCCCCACTCCTTTAGCGTCTGACATATCAGGGTCTCCTGCGTCACCTCACTCCTCTGGGCTAGTTCGCGGGTGGCTGGCTCTTCTGCTTGACCCTCAGTGGAAGCTCTGTCACTAGTCTACAAGCCAATATTTACATTCTTCTCAATTTAAAAATCTGTCATAAACCAACTCCGTTTATTCCCTGTGCTCTCAGGAGTAAAAGAGCTTATTCCCCAGCCCCACCTTTAGAAGGACCAATGAAACACACTGCTAACATAAACCACTTCTGAGTGGTGCCCCCACAGACCTGCTTGCTCAGACATCTTTGGCCACCATAGTGTAGAAGCTTAAAGCTGAAAGGGGAAGGTAATGTGGAGTACTTGGGTTCAAATCCTGGCTCTGCCACCTACTAACTCTATAACTGGGGAACATCCCAGCTTCACAACTGGCCTCAGACATTGTTTTTGAGAATTCACTAAAAATGTCCAAGTGGCACACACAGTACAATTTCAATACATGTCATTACTACATAGCCCCACTTTGCTATAGAAGTGAATACACCGTGTCAGTGTCGGGGGCTCCCCACCTCAGCCAGGGCCCCTGACACTCTCCCCACCACGCAGTGCTTTTCAAAGCATGCTCTGGTTCACTTCCTCTTTACAAGGGTTTCCGTAGAAAGGATGGGGGAGAGGGGCTCAGGAAGAAAGCTTTCATCTTATCAAATTTGCTAGAATTTGTGGGTCACCTGAACGGTTCAGTCAGTTAAGCATACGACTCTGGATCTCAGCTCAGGTCTTGATCTCAGGGTTGTGAGTTCAAGCCCTGCGTTGGGTTCTATGCTGGGCATGGAGCCTATTTACAAAAAAAAAAAAGTTGCTAGAATTTAGAATTTTCATCACTTCTTTCTCTGACATCATCATTCCATCTCTTACCAGCTGTGCCTGTTTCCTCTACTCCTCCATCTTCATTAATCATCAGTGTTTTATCACCTAATAGGTGGCCTGAAATGGAGGCAGTCAAGTTATACAGTGACTTGCCTGCATTTTGTCAAAAGAGTATCCTAGACACTATATTCCATAACATAAAATTAGACATGGCTTAAGACCACTTTGGCGGGGGGGCACCTGGGTGGTTCAGTCCATTAAGCATCAACCTTCCATTCCCGCCATGATCCTGGAGTCTGGGGATCAAGTCCTGCATTGGGCTCCCTGCTCAGCAAGGAGTCTGGTTCTCCCTCTGCCCTTCCCTCTGCTCATGCACCCCCCCCGCAATCAAATAAATAAATAAAACCTATTTTTTAAAAAAGATTATCTTTAGAAATAAGGAGAATTATCATAGGCATGACTAAATTTTTGAGCCACTATTACAGGCCTGGTGATATTTTACCACTTTTCGTTTTTACAATAACCCTAAGATATAATTAAGAAACAATTATTATTATTACCCCTGATTCGTATCTGAGGAAATGGAATAGGGTCATTCCAGGACTTACTCAGGTCACACCAGTTCAAGTTAGGCTTTTTCCTCTGTGTGCTGCCTGTTCAGAACCTTTTTGATTCACCTTTACCATTCTCTGCCCTGAGGAATGCTTTCTAAACAATGGCCAAGCACTTGCACTGTACCCAGTGCCTTTAGAGATATTTTTCCACTTGATCTTCACAGTGATGACCTTAGAGCTAAATAGCTTTAAGATTCTTTTTTCAGAAACTTATCATGGGTCACATAGCTACTGAAGTGGTGGGGCATGGCTTTGCTCCCAGTTTTTTGCCTTTTTTTAAAAAAATCTCATGTCGGTACTTCCAACCAGACCACAGCTCTCACCTCCAAACCAAGCTAAATTTGCCATTCAGTACAAATTGCTACTGGAAATTCAGAGGAAAAACTGGCCATGGCCATATAATAACACCTCCTTTTGTCTAGAGCCTGGCTGCTTATATATCCTTTCACATTCATTTCTTCTTTTCATCCTCAAAAAACTGAGTTCGATACATTATAAACCTATAACGCAACTGAAACTCAGGCCAAGAGACTTGCTCAAGTTCATTAGGTTAAGTGTTTGCATAATTATTAATAAAATGTGTGTTAGATGGACTCAAATCTACATCTCTTCCTATGGCATCACCATGGTCAGAGCAATTAGACTTTTGTGGGAAAGCCAAATACTCAACGGAAAATGAAAGTGTCCCATGTGTACAAATATTTTTTATTTTTAATTTATTTTTAATTTTTTTTATTTTTATTCATTTGACAGAGAGAGAGAGAGAGAGATCACAAGTAGGCAGAGAGGCAGGCAGAGAGAGAGGGAAGCAGGCTCACCACTGAGCAGAGAGCCCGATGCGGGGCTCGATCCCAGGACCCTGAGATCATGACCTGAGCCGAAGGCAGAGGCTTAACCCACTGAGCCACCCAGGTGCCCCTGTACAAATATTTTTTTAAAAAAAGTCCAAGAACTAGGACTTTTAATTCAATATAAAATTGAATTAAACAGACCTGTCTTCAGAAAACATGCTCAAGAGGTGGGCAACCAACAAGCAAGTCACTACTTATGAAGGCAGGAGGGTGGGGCCAGCGCCATGGCAGATGTGCACAGACAGCTGCAGTTGCTCAGAAAGAGGAGGGCATGAAGTCACACTCTGGGTTCCAGGAAGGGTTTCCTGCTCTGAGGTTGCAGCCTGGGAGGAGCTGGCAGGAAGAAGGAGGACGCAAGTCCCCTCCTGAGGCAGGGAAGCTGCTACAGCGGTATGAGACAGGAAGACTCATCCCTTCATCAGAATACACAACACAAATACTAAGAAATTGTTGACAGCTGACTATTGAACATTACCTCCATCCAACCTGGCGGTGATCCTGGAGAGATGACATATACCAGCTCTTAGCATTTTTAGTCAATTTGGTCCCCATCCCCTTTCTCATGCTTTACCCTGATGTTGCCTATTATTTGCTTCTGTTTTGCAGCAGACAATAAAATCGCAGGGTCAAAAAAGCAAAAGTAAATCGCTTTCTATTCAAGTTTAAATTTGCAGATTATTACATTCCAGATGAGTGTAAATCGAGTAGTGGAGCCAAAATTAAATACTTTTTATTATTCGAATTCAAGCTTCAGCAGAGTTCCTATCAAATGATGCCACAGTTGCACAGAGAAGGTAAATACGAAGCCTGGGAGCCACTTACTAAAAACTCACTCGGGTTCTCACCCCCTTCTAATGAAAGCCATGCATACCAACTAAGCCAAGAGAACCACCTGCACTGATGGTGTCCACCGACAAGAAAGACTAAGGTTCTGGGGAAACTAAACAGGCAAATAAGGATGAAAACCCACCCATTCAGTTAATAATGTCCCGTATCAAAATGAACCTTCTGAGACTCTCTCAGATGCCATGTTCAACATTTTAGTTACCAGAGATGAAGAAGGCTGGGAAGCTGTTGCTCCAATGGCTGTCCCTACTGGGCCGCTTCCAAGGAATGACTATTTGGGAAAGCAGGGGTGACAGGGAGCTCTACTGCTGTTTCACGTTTGGCCAAAAGCTGCTGTTCTACTTCAGCTTCATACTCAGCTACTGGAAGGCTGAGGAGTCGAGTAGCCAAACAGCCAATTCAATGCCACTTTGGTGTCCCTGAATGTGTGTGTGACAAGAGCTTGTGTAAAAATTCACATCACCATCATATCTAAACAGGGTATTGTTGTGAGCAACACACACAGGGAATGTTGTAGGAATTTACAGGTTTAACTAAATATGCAACTTAAAAATCTTGTAAGCAAAAGGTACAGCACAGTGAATAAAATCAATGGTATTGTAACAGCACTGTATGGAGACAGAGGAGAGCTACTTGTGATGGGGACAGCCTAATTCTAGAGTTGCTGAATCACTATTTTGTATACCTGAAACCAATCTAATGTAACACTGCATGTCATCTATACTCAAATAAAAAAGTAAAAACAAAATAAAATTGATGAGCAATTTAGAAGTAACCAGAGTGAAAATCTCTTTATCTGTTTTATATATTGAAATTCTGTCAGTCAGAGGAAGTTTAAATGTATCTCTGGAAGAATAAAATGCTGATAATAAATTTATTGTGAAATTTATTAATTTTATGTACTTTTGAATTATGAAGAATTACTGACTGCATAGGAGAACAAATTGTCAGCAAAAGGCTATGTTAAGAGAAGAGTGCGTTTGGAAGATAACTTTGGGAAAAATACTGTATCATTTTTCTGCCAACAAATATTGATTAAGTTTTAAATAATAATGTAAGGTAGAATAACGGTTGAGATTACATGATAATTCAAATCTTTGTAGAATTAGTTGATGTGTTAACATTCAAAATTCAAAAAACAAGCTGAACTTTAGGAGCTACATATAA